TGTAGGAGTAGATTGGAAGAAAGCTAGGGTGGCGGTCAATCATAAACATGGTATAAATCCATGAAGTTACTGATAACTGGACAGAGCCATGTTGGTAAGTGTAGACTACTTGGTTGGGGTTTGAGAGACAACAGTAACCGATCAATAGAGACTCTGAATTCCATGGCACAGATGCATACATTCAGAGTCTTCTCTCAAATTCTGATCTTCTGAATTCCCCGTGACCCTTTTGTTTTAAACTTATTTCACTTGGATAAACTTCTACAACCATATCTTGGATCCCTAGTCTTTCTGTTTACCGCTAATACTTCTAGTACCTCTACTACTATGGGATTTGAATGGACAATTACATCTCTTTGTGCTACCATGCTATGGCAACTTGAACTGATGTACGTACGTACGTACGACGTTCTAAGTTGTAGCTAACCGACCGATTAAGTCAGTACATTATTACTACTTTTAGTAGTAGTAGTAGTAGTGTGAGTAGTAGTAGAAGTAGAAGTAGGTTGTGGTAGTTGTGTTTGTAGGAGTTGTTAGTAGTGATGATTGTGTTTGAGAGTGAGTGAGTGGTGTGTCCCCATGATCGAGTGATCAAACTTGGTGTTGATCACATGTCATATTTGGGGCGAAATCGATGAGCCTTGATCGATCTACACATGTTGTGTCTATTGGACATGTGTGCGAACCAATCTAGGTACATACATGATTGATTGTGTGGAGTTAGTAGTTGAGTGATGCGAAGCGGTTGATGTGGATGGATGTTTGTTTGTGTTGTTGTTGTTGTGTAACAGATCGGTTTTGACGTGTGGATTTTTTGATAATGTGTGTGTTGTTTGTGAGGAATGCACATCAGAGTCAGCTGCATTCGGTTATTTGTCCACGTTTGCAGTGTTAACTGTGTGCTAAATTGACATGCGATATGAGAATGAGTGTTGGGATTATTTCCCCATGATATTGCAACATGTGTGTGTAGGTTGTAGTATAGTTTGATTGTAATGTGTGTATATGTTGTGATATGTTTGTGATTGTTTTGTGTGTGATGTTGCGCGGTGTTGTTAGTAAGTAGTAGTAGTAGTAGTAGTGGTAGTACTCAACTTAAACTCTTTAAATTTCCAACATTCACCTAAATAATTTGTTTGTTTGAATATACCAATTAATAAAACATGCACAACAATACTAAATTACTCAATTGTGAATTAATAATTATTGAAAAAAATCATTTCTTAAGTTTTTTATTCAATACAAACAACAAGATAATATAATAAAGTTTTATTGTTAAATGTAACAAACTGTCAACACATGATCACATACAAATTCATTTCTATATGTATTTCAAAACAAACAGTACAATTTTATATAAGTGATCGATCTCGACTGAAATAATGTTTCATTCTGTAAAAGCTAAAAATTACTGGTAGTTCGAAACGCACTGTTCCAGGTAGGGTGTATGTACACCGCACTGAAAGGTACTAACTAACGCAAAACGTAGATGGAGGATAATTTACTGCAGATCACCTTCAACTTCTATCCGTAGATGACTTATTTTTAGGATGGAATCGCTTGACGATTTTAAAATTTCCGCTTAGAGCCTCTCTGAGATTATTGCTGGTCCAAAGCCTGGATAAAGGAGGAGGGTTGGGCATGGGGTTGACAAACCTATCCTGTTGAAAACTAACTCGCTAAAAATACGCTAACCATTGAGGAAAGCACCCAACTGCATCACAAGACAAGCCCTAACCTAGAACCCTCAAGGTCAAAGGAAAAGTGGAAAACCAAGGAAAACTATACGCTGAGAAATGGAGACAGACATGAGAAGAATGAACAAAAACTGGACAGAACTAGAAAGAGAAGCCCAATACAGAGTAGATTGGAGAATAAGGGGTTGGCGGCCTATGCTCCATTGGGGGTAACAGGCGTAATTAAATAAAAAACTTCAGCCAGTTAGTTAGTTAATCTAAAACTTATCTAGTATATTGTAACAAAAGTACAATCTCCTCATACGTGTGTGTGTATATGTTTTCCTTTCATGTACCCACATGAATTTTTCATGTTTACTAAAACAAATAAGTACTGTTGAATATTGAACATATTTTTCTCAACAAATGTAAGAGAAAAAACAAAAAACATTTTACATTCATACATTGTGTGTACTTTGTTCTTACTGGTGTTTTTTTAAAACTGTTTTGTACCAAATTATTTAAATCACATGTATTCCCTTAAAACAAAAAAACAATCAAGTTATGAATCACATGGGTTCAATGTCCAAGTTGTTATTTTTTTCATTAATTAAAACAAAAACACAATAACAAGTTTTTTTGTTATACATGCTCAATGTATGAGTGTTACATCATCCAATCCTATTCACATATTCACATTGAACATTGGAAAGTTTTTGTTATTCCAGAAGCTTCTATTGATTATTTTGTTTTACTCTACTTAACAATTTGGGTTATGGAGATTAGTGTAATCGGAACATTGAAATCATCAATCAATCATTGTTAGTCTACCATTAGAAGCCAGGAAGCACTGGATGGCAGTTTCGTCCTGATATGCGACTACTCATCAATGGCAGTGCGCATCCACTACTCCTGTACCTTAAACCTTCAGTCTTGCGCGCGAACGCCTAACCTCTGAACCAATGAGCCACCATCCAACGGTGTTAATGTTTAACTCTGACTGATCTACGGAGAAGACGTGACCAATGGAGTTCAAGATCTGAACGCGATACATACCAATTCCCCTTCTCGTTGAAATATGTATATAGTATACATTTCAGATAAGAAAGATTGATTACGTAGTCGACACATTTCATGCCAATTAGGATAATATCAGCTGAAGTTAATTAGATTTTATTAAATAATATTCACACAATCAGTCAAATATCATGTTTATTATGGTGATGTTTCGTTCTCTGAGCTGGATGTTTTGGTTATGGAGCTTGGCCCTCACAGGTCAACCAGTAATCAACAAACACATTGACATAGACCCAATTTATCAACCAATCAGAAAAGTCATAGGCAAACATCGGATCAAGAAACAGATCAAAAGGGAGATACAATCAAAACAAAAGTCAACACCAACCAATCAAGATCGAGGTTAACAGAACAAACTACAGGTCAAACAAGGAGAAATTCGAATACTTCACTTCTGCTATCTGAAGTTTGTGCTGGTGATGATGTTGTTTAGAAGAAGAACTATGAAAGCTCCCCAACCAAAATGCATCCAGCTCAGAGAACGAAACACCACCACAATCATCCATCCATCTGAGCTACAAATTTCCCCCACCATCTCAATTATCATGTTGATCGGTAATAGAGGTTCTGGGTTTGCAAGCAAGACCCAAGATCTTGGGTTCGATTTTTCACGAATGGAGAGAATAATTGCTCACTGCTGATGATACTCAATAATAGGGACGAAACAATCATCTACAATGATGACAAGTTTCTAATGTTGGCCTAAAATTCATTGAGAAAAAAACACCACCATCCATATTTAATCAGGACAATAGTAGAGAGTCATGTGATATCCACTTAAATGATAATTTTAAAACTACTATGTATGATGGTAGTAGTGTAGTTAAGGAGAACACAGTTGAGGGCAACCAAATTGTATTAATCGCAAATTACATAGTTACTCAGTAAAATAGGAAAACTATATCGTAAACGGTTAATTTACAAATCTTCAATCCATCCTCAATCCATTGTCTGACATTTCACTCTGTTCATGCGTTTCATACAAATTCCATTTTTGTGTTCCCACTATTCCTTTCTTGTTGATCTTCCCCCATCTTCTCTTCTGCCAGACATTACGTTTACACTCACGTCATATACTACTTATAAGTAGCGCGCACCACTGTAGTAGTATATTTAGATTTATATATTTCATCTCTGAAATAAATTCAGTGTTTTTTTTACTTTTTATTAGTGAATGATTAATTTTTGATGAATTTTGTAAATTCTGTCAATTAGTGTGATTGAAATTAATTAAATTTTCGGGGAAAAGTGATTTTTTGTGTTTGGACAAGGTTAACATAGTAACCAGACAGAGTTTTAGTCAAATTGCTTTGCTTTTTTCCACATGACCTAATTATCAAATAAATTACAGAAAAATTTCTAACCAACTAAGAAAAAGAAAATACCCAGTTAAAAGAAGTTTTGTTAAGATTGTTGAGTTTTAGTAAAGCCATAATTCGGTCAATGTTAGACCACGATTAGAAACTTGCAGTGCGTATCCATAATCATTCCATGTGGGAATCGAACTTAAGCGAATATGACAATCTCCATAATCGTGAACTGACTAGTATCATTTGCTCGTCAACGACTAACTTTGTGAAGAAATTCTCGGAGTTCTAGTGAGAAGTCATGATTAGTGAAGGAAGTTGCCTACCGAAGACAATGCGTAAGGTCGATTAAAGTTAAACATTAACTCGGTTGGATGTTGACTCAGTGGTTTAGAATTTAAAGGTTCTCAATCGAGACCGTAGCTCCTGGGTTAGTTTCCCAATTTCGGGTTCATTGATATGCCCTGCTGACGAGTTGTATACTTAGACGAAACCTCCAACTTGCTCTGTCCTCCGCCTTCCTTTCCAGTTCTATGTAATCGTTGTTCATTCTTCTCATGTCTGTCGCCATTTCTAGACGTAGTGGGTTTTTCGGTCTTCCTCTTTTCCTTTGACCTTGAAGATTCCAAGCTAGCGATTGCGTCGTGATGTAGTTAAGTGATTTCAGCTATGTGTATTCTACTCACCTCAAGCGCTTTTCCCTAATTTCTTGCTCAGCTGGAAGAATCTGGTTTGTCCTCTCCCAAAATAGGTTGTTGCTCATGATGTCCGGCCAACAGATCCAAAGTATCTTGCGTAGATAACTGTTATTAAACACTTGTACCTTTCACCTGTACGATCCTAATTCGTCGATTAGTTTTAACATTTATCAACCTTCTCATTTTGACTCTGACATAACATCTTTCTTTTCATTTCTCTGTTTTTTCCCTTTTTTTACAAGGAACTGATGAACATCGTATCATTAAGGTTTTGGGTTATCGTGATTCTTATCAACGAATTAAAATACGTGAAACTTTTAAATCAATGTATGGAAAGGTAAGTTCTATGATGATGCTGATGATGATGAGAGATTTTATCATTTTAAGTAGATAGACAGACAGACAGACAGATAGAACGCAGAACTTCGTACATAAGTACATCAGTTCAGGTTGCCCCATACCACATCAGCACAGAGACTCAACTGTCAGTTCAAATCCAAGAGTGATAGAGATAGTAGAATTATTAGCAGTAATGGAGAAGATTAGGGAGCAAAGAGATGATTCGAAAAGTATAATTCAGTGTGATAAATTTAGATGGAGAAACATGAAGTTTAGAACGGGGTTTAAGGAGACCACGAATGACGTTTCGTGAACTCGCATCGTTTGTATTAGCGGTGTAGTGAGCTGAAGGAATGCGAGTAGAGTTAGTCGTAGAGATAAGAGAGATATTAGGGGGTGTAAGAAGGATTTGATTATGACCAATTCGGTCTGGTGTGCTGTTACAGGAATGAGGGCGGTTGTAAGTTCCCGGCTGCCCACACAGTGGAAGGTTGTTTCTTGAGGGACCTGAAAAGGAAGGTATATTAGCGTTGGTCTTTGAGACCTGGTTGCTTGACCACAGAGTTCAAGGGACAACTGCTTGAGGCCGGTCACGCACGGCCTTTTTATTAAAGGTTTTTTGAGTATTAGCTCCGCTCTTAAAAGCCCTTAGTGGGCAGCCCTTACCGCCGGAGACGGATATCCGTGAGTTAGGGGAGGTGTGACAATTTTAGGGTCGACCTTTTCGAACCCTTCCTTCATTGTGAGAAGGAAGCATCGCTGCAGATGCTGGTTGTCCGGGGGAAACACCTTACTGCTGTCACACCCCTCCATCACAGTCAGCTGTACGACTTCGCCCTCAGACCTTAAGTAGCTGTTTTTAGTTTCATCGTTCTCCGATCGACCTGCCTCTCATGGTAGACCCTTCAGGAACGTATGTTCCAGCCAGTATAGCTCGTTTGGGTCATCACGATAGTCAAGCTCGGCCGCCACGTCAAGGTAGCAGCGACGGTTAGGCCATTTTGAAATATAGTTTTTAATGAGACAGTCAGAGAGTCAGTTACAACGGAGAACTTTCTACGAACGTACGTACATCAGTTCAAGTTGCCATACCACGGTAGCACAGAGGTGTAATTGAGTTACACTACTATACTAGTTGATGTTAAGCATTGAGTGTAAACTGGGAGTAACTCCTCCTGGAGCCGAATTCTACTGTATGGAGCAGAAACTTGGAGAACTACGAAAGCCACCATTCAAAAGATTCATGTATTTATTTAACACTTATCTAGGCAAAATTCTTCGGATTCGTTCGCCAGACACTATCAGAAACAACTTATTGTGGGAGAGAACAAACCAGATTCCAGTGGAGGAGGAAATCAGGAAGGAGCTCTGGAAGTGGATAGGACACACATCGAGGGAAGCACCTAACTGCGTCACAAGACAAGCCCCCACTTGAAACCCTCAAGTTCAAAGGAAAAGAGGAAGGCCAAAGAAAACGTTATGCCGAGAAATAGAGAAAGATTTGTAAAGAATGAACAAAAATTGAACAGAACTGGAAAGGAAGGCCTAGGATAGAGTAGGCTGGAGAATGCTAGTCGGTGGCCTGTGCTCCATTGTCAAAACAGTCAATGTCAGGAAAGCTGGGAATACAAATCCTATGAACAACCTTCGAGTTGATTAACACACACACAGACCAACACAATGTATCTACGATCATAGAGAAACTGACTTGTACTAATAAAAATACTCAGTATTACTTATAATTTCTGTAGTAGCGTTGTGATAGTTTCATTCTGTGGGTTGGATGATTTTGCTTGTGGAGCTAACATTGTTCCGCTGAACAACACGACCAGCAGCAGCACCAACTTACGGTAGAACAAGGGAAATATTCAAATTTCTCCACACACACAACTCGTCGCTAGTTCTGTTGACCTTGATCTTGATTGGTTGTTAATAATGACCTTTAACGTGTCATCATCTGCTACTCTATTTTGATTGCATCCCCCTATTGATGTGATTCTTCAACCCACATTTGTGTGTGATTCTTCTGACTAATTGATAATTTGGAGTGATTTCGATGAGTTTACCGATTGCAGATTCTTGACTATTAATTGTCACATGTCTTCTAGTCTTCAAAACTCTTTGATCAAGCTATGCATTGCGAATAGATACTTTCCTCGTCGATAGTAACTTCTGGATGACACTTCGTTGCATACTTCTACTGTGGTGCGAGCTACTTATAAGTAGTATATGACGTGAGTGTAAACGTAATGTCTGGCAGCAGAAGATGGGGGAAGATCAAGAAAGGAAGAGTTAGAAAACAATGGAATTTGTATGAAACGCATGAATAGTGAGTGACAATGGAATGATGTTGTTTGCAACAGGAACAGTCCAGTTCGATATGATGAACTGATATTTTGCAAATGAACGATTTACGATATGGTTTTCCGATTTTTACTGAGTAACTCCGTAATTTTCGTTAAATACAAATCCGGTTGCCCCCACCTGTGTTCTCGTTCACTACACTACTACTTATAAACCCTTTTGCAAGTAGTATTCACTGCATAGATACATCTGGCTGATAAGTCTCAAATAAGACGAAATTCCCCAATTTGGAAAAATTCAATGTTTCAATAGTTCAATGAATTAATTCATTTTTTTTTTACTTTGTTTAAATAGGATTTAATCGATGAATTATGCAGTGAAACCAGTGGTAATTTTAGAAAACTATTGAAAATGCTTTTAACTGATGTGGACAAAGTGAATGCTCGTGCATTATACAAAGCAATGAAAGGCGGTGGAACAGATGAAGCAACAATTATTGAAGTTTTATGTACTGCAACTAATTATGAAATTGAAGATATTAAATCTGCCTATTTATCTGGTAAGTAGAATTATTAGGATTAAACTTAAGCAAGAAGGTTTTTATTTATACTTGTCGACATACTAGACCCCTGCATATCTTAGGCCGTCATTAGAAACCTGGCAGCACTGTAAATAACCGTTTTGTCCATTCACGATCCTTGCTCGCGGGAATGAAACCAAGGAGTCTTGTACTAGGACAAAACGGCCTGCATCACAGGCACGTATACCTCTTTTACACAGGACAGAAGTTCACATGACTGCCCACTATTTATGATCCTTACCGCTCGACGGTACGCAGGTGTTGCCTAGTTTTTCTCACAGGTCAGTCGGACATCCAATCAGTGTACGCATGAACAGTTACCCCAGTACGAGTGTTTATGAATTAACTTGATCCCTTCAACCAAACCACTTCCCCACTTTCCCCACTAGGCGAGGGAAGAAAGATGGGTAAACCCAGATGGACTTCGGAGCTTGTACAAGTTAACGAGCCGACCAGCAGTGCACTAACCAGCAGACATTCCAACCAACTGGTGCAAAAAATTTGTAGCTCAGGTGGATGATTGTGGTGGTGGTGTTTGGTTCTCTGAGCTGGATGGTGTTTTCGTTGTGGAGCTTTCATTGTTCTTCTGCTAAACAACATCATCATCAGCACAAACTTCAGATAGAAGTGAAGCATTCAAATTTCTCCATGTTTGACCAGTAGCTTGTTTTGTTAACCTCGATCTTGACTGGTTGCTATTGACCGTAAACCTGCTGTTGCTTGTACCTTTGTTTTGATTGACTAAAGAGGAAAAACCAACTATCATCTGCAAAATTAATTGTTCAGATTGTGAAAAACACTACATAGGACAAAATGGACGGCCTCTTCAGCTTTGTTTGCGTGAACATCAATTAGCAGTCAAACGCCACGACAATTCTTCTCTTATATCAATACACACGGACAATTATGGACATACATTCGATTGGGACAATGTTGAAATACTGGATAGGGGAAGGACAAAGAACAGCAGAGAATTTCTAGAAGCTTGGCACTCAGGTCAATCAGCAATCAACAAACACATCGATATAGACCCAATTTATCAACTTATCAGAAAAATCATAGGCAAACATAGAATCAAGAAACAGATCAAAAAGGTAAAACAATCAAAACAAAAGTGCAAACAACGTCAGATTTAAGGTCAACAGCAACCAATCAAGATCGAGGTTAACAGGACAATCTACAGGTCAAACGTGGAGAAATACGAATACTTCACTTCTCCATCCGAAGTTTGTGCTGATGATGTTGTTTAGAAGACGAACAATGAAAGCTCGACATTCAAAACATATCCAGCTCAGAAAACGAAACATCATCACAACTAACTGGTTTCCAACTTTCTCAAAACCTCACATAAAGCAAAAGTTAACCAGAACGTACACACTTCTTCTATGGGTTCGACATCATGTACCTGACCGAGGGCAAGCAATCAGCCAGGTTGGATTAATCCAACCACTATAGGATGAGCGGACGTCATGTCCGCTTTCAATTCTCAGTGCAGTTTATTCTTTGGTCTACCTCCGTTCCTTTAGTTCGTGCAAAATGGCTGTTATTCAATTAAAAGATAGCGGAAAAAGAATTTTAGTATATTGATTGAAACCTGCTATTCATGTTTAAAACAACTTGATTTTATGCGCCTCTTTGAAATTCGATATTCAATAATAATTTAACATTCTGATAATTTAATTGAATCAAAAATCTTGTTACATTCTCATATCAAACAAGCCAATAAAACTGTAACGAGTTTTTTCAAAAAGTGCTCCAAAACTCTGCCCCAAAATATGGTAACAGTGCTCACTAGTAGTGACTAGATTCGTGAGGAAATTCTGGGAGTTCTAGTAATGAGAAGACTGACCATCAGTGGAGTTCAACCCTGTCGGGTGTAGGCAGTAACTAATTACCAAAGACAAGTGGGTGAGGTCGCGCAAAATCCCTAGATCAATCAGAGTTAGACATTAACACCATCGGATGCCGGCCAGCTCAGTGGTCCGATGGTAAGGCGTTCGCCTACAATGCCGAAGGTCCCGAGTTCGAATCCTGCGAGGAGCAGGAGTCGAGGATGCGCACTGTCACTGATGAGTCCCATACCAGGACGAAACGTCCGTCCAGTGCTTCCAGGTTTCTAATGGTGGTCTAACAATGATTGATTGATAATTTCAAATGCGCAAAAACACAAACCTCCAAAACTCTTCCCCAAAAAAGTGCTTACCTTGAATATCGCAAATCACTTAAATGACTTCTGTATTTTTATCTGCTTTTTATTACAGTTTTAAAGGATTATGGAATCAGTGGTAAGTTCATATTTTTCATTTCGGTACAAAATTCAATGTTTTGATTATGTAACAATGAACTGAAGAGAAATAGATTGATCATTTTGAATGTCAATAACTATTTCGTTTATTGTATGAGACTTATCAACAGTGGCGATCCACAACGCTAGCACACACAGGAATTGAACTGAAGACTTTCAATCTCACACGTCAACCATTAATCTCTTGATCATCATTGAATCAATCCGCTAGTGTTATTGTCTAGCTTCGATCAATCGATCATCTTTCGAGAATATCGTCCATTGCCTCCTATTCAATGGTGATTCAACTCCACTGATCATGACTTATCAATAAAAACCCATGAAAATATTATTTAACTCGTCATTAGTGAGCGCATGAGCGTTAATATTGAAAAAGATTTGCGAATACTTGGATGCTGACCAAAGAATTTCAATTTGTCAGTCAGTCAGTCAGTTGCAACTTAGAACTACGTACGTATGTACATCAGTTCATGTTGCCTGCCATACCACATTAACACAGAGACGCAAATGTCAAATCAAATCTCATAGTGATAAAGATAGTAGAGGTATTAATAGTAATGAAGAAGACTAGTAGGGTTTGAAGATGTTATTCAAGAAGTATAATTCAGTGAGATAAGGTTAGAAAGACAAAGGCAGAGGTGCTGACGATTCTAGAAGATTAGGATTTGAGAGAGCTCAAAGAATGGATGCACTTGCACCATCGCAAACCATTTTAAGCCATGTCGTTCAAGGTTTCTAACCATTGGTGACTATCGTCTCGCGGACCTCAACCAGGTAGTCGATACCTACCAACATCACTCAGTCCACTTGTCAGTGACTTTATGGATTTGTGCCATGTTTTGGTCTGGCCACCCGTAGCTTTCTTCCAATCTACACCTACACCACAAAACATAGCTCGTCGAGGCAGTCGTTGGTTAGCCATACGTAACACATGTCCCAACCACCTCAACTGATGAAGTTTCATTACTTCATCTACTGATCTGCCATCCTTACCTAGTACTCGTTTCCTAACGACAGCATTGCTTACTCTGTTGTCCCACGATATACGAGCAATGCTTCTAAGACATCTATGATCGAATACTAGTAACCTACGAACATCTTCTACTCTTAACGGCCATGTTTCATAGCCATATAGGAGAACAGAGCAAACTGCTGCACAGTACACTCGTCCTTTGGTTAGCGAACGGATATCTCGCCTTCGTCATAATTAACGCAGGTTGACAAAGGCCAATCGAGCCTTCTGTATCCATGCGAATACTTGGATGCTGACCAAAGAATTTCAATTTGACTCCTACTTATGTGTGTCGTTGATGCACGCTGTTGATGAGTCCTATAATAAATAGGACGAAACCGCTCTCTAACGCTTTCATATTCCTAATCGTGGTCTAATAAAGTGGCTAAGAATTTATGATTAACCCCTTTTCACCACTTTATCATTTATCTAACCTTAAGTTTGATTAATCCAACCATAAAATCAATTCATTAATCTCTTAACTGATGATTTTCGGTTTATACACACAAATTGTGAATAGGATGAAATGTGTGTGATTTAGACAAGGAAAGAAAGATTAGCATGTATTTAAAAAAACTGTTTATCGATAAAAGATCACTATCTGGATACATAAAAATATAACTAATCAGAATACAATAATCCAAGCTACTTTCATACTAGTCACGTTTTGGTGCAAGCTACTTATAAGTAGTATATGACGTGAGTGTCAACGTAATGTCTAGCAGCCGAAGATGGAGGGAGATCAAGAAAGGAAGAGTTAGAACACAATGGAATTTGTATGAATAGTGACAATGGATTGATGTTTTGCAACAGGAACAGTCCAGTTCGATATGATGAACTGATATTTTGCAAATTACTGATTTACGATATGGTTTTCCTATTTTACTGAGTAACTCTGTAATTTTCGTAAAATACCATTTCGGTTGCCCCACCTGTGTTCTCCTTCACTACAACGTCAATTGTTTGGTAGTAACTGTCACACACTCGATATGGTCATGATAGTGAAATCAAAGGTCCTAGGTCCAGTGTGCAGTTGTGGGATCGCGGATATGATGCGTTGCTGAGAAGTTTCACGATTCATTTCTTAATATTGATCCAGCTTATCAGAAGTGATCCATTCTTTCTGATGGCATTTCGTGCCACCAAAGAACTCTTAGTACATTTCAGGTATTAGTTCTTCAGTCCCTTTCCACAAGTACTACTTCATGGTAGTTTCCTCTTCAGTGAGTTGATCCTGTAAGGCTTGGAATTTGTTGTTGAAAGCTATCTTCGGTCATTTTCCTATGGGTCCTTTAGTTTCAACAACATCTCTAACCGTTTCCGTCTCCATTTCTAAGTCAAAGTCTTCCATGATGTCTTCATATCCAATGTTTTCCACTTTGAACTTGGTATTTAGCTTCCTCATTAGAATAGTCAAATCCTTCGTTGGGTAATTCCCTACGACTGACTGCAGACTCTCTTTAAACTGACTTTCATCATCTTCGTTGCTATCATTGGCAGGCGTGTAGCTTCTGCATGAAATGCACTGTAACCCTCATCTTCTTTGTTTTGAAGGCTGCTTTGATGATCCTAGGTCTATGAGATTCCTATCCTAATATATTTCTCTTCATGAGACTATAAACATATAGATTATTGGAGTTGTCATAAGGTCAATTAAAGGAAAACGATCAAACTATTTTTTAAGTATTAATACTAATCAATAAAAAAGTAACTTACAAACTCAGAAAAATGTTGTAAAATTCTTATTAAAATCAAACCGTAAATACTAACAATCTATCAAATGAGTTTTTTTGTTTTACCTAATGTTGCTACTGAATAATAATAATAAGTAGTTTGGAATATTGATATGCTTGAAACTACTACGAGTTCACCTCACTCAGTAAACGGAACGAAGATCAACGATACCATGACACTATGGGCTAATCTGATTGTCACCGGCTCTGCTAACAAGAGCAAGAAGTCTTGATAAGGAGTAGAGAATGTATTCTACAAGCACCCAGAAAATACGAGGTCAGTTATACAATGTTAGAAACACGCTTGGTGAGAGCCACAAAATAGCCTACTAAAATAATCCATCAGCCAATAACAGTCAAGGATTTTCTGAGTGTGATATATAAGCTAAAGGTTAACTAAGCCTTTTATGCGCGAAAACATGAACAAAATACAAAATTAGGACCTTTTCTAAGTGAGTTCTGGGGTTCTAACGTCCCCAAAAAACATAGTATGAGGTTTTCTAACTTCCAGTGTGTTTGAAAGACATCTCTCATATTTTTACTATCATGGTATGGACATTGTGATTGAAAAATGGGGAATTTCTTGACTGGGAGTTCACAAACCATAAACAATGGGTCGTGATTTCGATGAGTGCATGTGGGTTCATTTATGCACATATTGTTGAGGAATCGCCAACTAATATGAAATGATGATCCAGAGCTCTGAGATTTACACTGGTGTTTATTTTCACACGATAAAAACGTTTATAACTATCTTTTATGAAAAAATTAAACCGAAAATCCTCATACCTTTTCCAATAGATCCTCGACGAAATTTAGAAACTGATGTTCAAGATGATTTAAGTGGACATTTTCAACATCTTGTTGTTGCACTGCTTCAAGCTAAACGTGATGAAATTCCATTTCAAGATATTGAAAAAATCTGTACAAGAGGAGTAAAAAGTGTAGTGGATATGAATTTAGTTGAAAAAGATGTTGAAACATTATGGGATGCTGGTGAAGCGTAAGTGTTGTCTATTTTTCGAAAAAATTGATTTCTAATATAGTGAGGATAAACTCTGAATTTCGCATTTAATCGATAAGGTGTTAGACTAACAGTATAATACCGGAAGCACTGGACAGCGATTTTGTCTTAGTATGCGACTCATCAGCTGGTCTCATCCATGACCGAAGGTCCTGAGTTTGAACCATGTGAGTAGCCGATGTTGTGGGTGCTTACTACTGATGAGTTGCATACTAGGAAGAAACGGCCATCTAATGCTGCCACATTTCAAATGGTGGTCTAACATCATACCTTTGGACCCTGATCTTCCCCATTACTGCTAATAATGTTAATACTATCTCTACCAATGTGGGATTTGAACTGACAGGTGCAGCTCTGTGCTAACGTGGTATGGCAACCTGAACTTATGTCCTTACGTACGAAGTTCAGCGTTGTAACCAACTGACTGACTGATTATAGACCAGACTTTATCACCTAAAATAAAAAGTTCAGTTTAGTAAAATCATGTTCTCAAAGAACCTAATCATAGACTATCATTAGAGACCTGAAAAGCATTGTAGACGGCCGTTACAACTTAGTACGGGAATATTCAGCATTGTGCATACACGACCCCTGGTGGCTGGCACCAAACACAAGAACTTTCAGTCGCGCAAGAATGCTCAACCTCTAAACCACTGAGTCGGCACCCACCGGTGTTGATGTGTTACTTTGTTCAATCCAAGGTATTGCTCAATTCCACACAATGTCTCTGGTAGTTAAATACCCTACACACGTCAGAGTCATTAGTGAAGAAGAATTTTTCGGAGTCCTAGTGAGAAGTCGTGGAGAGTGGAGTCCAACCATTCCGGTGTAGGCAATAATTACCAAAGACAATGAATGAAGTTGCCCAAAAGTCCTTATATTTATCACAGTTAGGCATTACCACTATTCGGTGCCGGTCGGCTCAGTGGTCCCGAGGTTAAACGTCCATGCCCGAGGCCGAACGTTCTAGGTTCGATTCCTGCGAGCAGCAGGAGCCATGGATGCACACTGCTGACTAGTCCCGTACCAGGACGAGATGGCCGTTTACGATGCTTCCAGGTTTCTAATGGTGGTCTAACATTGATCCATTCAAAGTTTCTATATAAAATGACAATCTTCATAATACTGTAATGCGAAATTCACCATTTATTTCCCTGAATAACGATTTATTTTATGAAACTTTTCCCCTTGTAGCCGTTTAGGAACTGATGAAGCTGCCATCATTAACATTATGGCTAATCGTAGTGTTTGGCATTTACAAGAAGTCGCTCGTTTATTTGAAAAGGTTTGTTTTCTGTTTTATTTCGTTTTTCTGTCCATTTATAGTCGGTCTACAACTTTTTACAAAAAGTTATCTAGCTAGAATTTCGTTTGCGGAGCGTGATGTTTACAACGACAGGTTTAAGTCCGGTAACAACCACTCAAGATTGAGGTCGATAGAACAAGCTACGAGTCCTACGTGAACAAATTCAAATACTTCACTTCTTTACCTGAAGTTTGTGCTACTGATGATGATGTTGTTCAGAAAAAGTACAATGAAACCTTCACAACCAAACCACAATCATCCACCTGAGCTACACATTTTCTCCACCATCTCAAGATCGAATATTCAATTATTCACATGTAGACAGCTTTGTAGTTTTTACCGTTCTTTCCGAACAACATCATAAGCCACTACTTTAAAAAAGGATGGACATGACCTTGTAGGGCAGGAGTCGGACCTAAGGTCTTCAATCTAGCGCTCGAACGTTTAACATCTTGACCAACTAGTATGATACAAAGATTCTTAGTATTACGGGGTTGTGAAGATTGTTAAGTTACACATTTTCGAAACCGTGAATCGATCAATGTTAGACCACTATTAGAAGAAACCTGGAAGCACTGAAAGACGGCCGTTTCGTCCTGGTATGGGACTCCCCAGCAGTGCGTATCCACGACTCCTGCACCCCGCTCGATTCGAACCCAGGACCTTCAGTATCGTGCGCGAACGCACTAACCGTCAGACCACTGAGCCGATATCTGACGGTGTTGTTAATGTCTAACCTGATCAAATTCACGGAGTTGCTCACAACCTCATAAACAGTCTTCGGTAGACACTGCTCACACACTACTACAAAGATTCTTAGTTAGAAAAAATTTAATTTCTTACATACAATACTCACTCAACCATTGAACAAAAAGAAACAAATATGTCCCGCAACTACCTGGTATCACACACATAGATTGAATATTGAAACAATGATATTAATAGTGGCAGTTATCTTGGGAGTCTCATCAGTGCTGATGGCCTGGTGACTGACGAAATCTCAGCTCGGATACAGAAGGCTCGATTGGCTTTTGCCAACCTGCGTCACTTATGGCGTAGGCGAGATATCCGTTTGCTGACTAAAGGAACTGCGCAGCAGTTCGCTCCGTCTTACTTTATGGCTGTGAAACAAGGCCAGTGAGAGTAGAAGATATTCGTAGATTACTGGTTTTCGATTATAGGTGTCTTAAAAGCATATCTCGTATATCGTGGGACACCCGAGTGAACAACGCTGTTATTAGAAAACGGGTGCTAGGTAAGAATGGTAGATCAATAGATGAAGTCATGAAACTTCATCAGTTGAGGTAGTTGGGAACATGTGTTACGTATGCCTAACCACCGACTGCCTCGACGAGATTCGTTTCGTAGTGTAGGAATAGGTTGGAAGAAAGTTAGGGGCGGCCAAACCAAAACATGGCACAAATCCATGAAATCATTGACGAGTGGACTGAGCCATGTCGTTAATTGTCGACTACCTGGTTGGGGTCCGCGAGGTGATAATAATCGATGGTTAGAGACCTTGAATGACATGGCTCAAAATCGTTGGCAATGGCGCAGGTGGATTTATTCTTTATGTTCTCTCAAATCCTAATCTTCTGGATTCTTCAACACCTCTAGTTTTGACTTTCTAAACTTATCTCACTGAATCATACTTCTTGAATAATATCTTCTAATCCTAACCTCTCCGATTACTTCTAATACCTTTACTACTTCTACTACTCTATTGAATTTGAATCGACATTTATATCTCCGTGCTGATGTGGTATGGCAACATGAACTGATGTACTTACGTACGAAGTTCTACCTTGCATCTGACTGACTGAATAATGACAGTCGTTTTGGTGTGTTTAAATTAATGATAATATAAATTTAATTTGGTCCTTTTTTTGTTTTAATTCAATTTTTCGATTGATAGAAATTTGAGAAATCATTGATGGATTCACTGGCATCTGAAACATCAGGAGATTTTGAAAGTGCTCTATTGTTAATTTGTAAGTCTTCATCATTGAAATATTGATTTATATATATATATATATATATATATATATATATATATATATATATATATATATATATATATATATATATGTATATGTATATGTAAATTGTCTTCACTCCAAGGAGATCATGATCTATGTCAAAGTTGTGAGATATTGTACGCCTACTCAAATTGAAGTAGATGGTTTTCATAGGGGGTCATCACTGGAACTTTTGATTTACATGGTTAATACACCATGGAGTGTGTGCAGCCATTGTCAAGAGTTGCTGTCTCGTGATAGCCGTTGACAAACAATGAGTCTATTAGCTATTCGTTCTATGAGGACCTGGGAAGCTATGTGTAACATTGATTTGGATGGAAAGTTTTTCAATCCCTTTAGATGAATCGTCCGTATACACTGACTCGGTTTAAGTGTCAAGCACTGGGGTTTTATCCTGTCAATTTCATAAACAACACTTGTGCCACGAGAAGGAAGTGAGTAGAACTTCTGTTTCAGTGGTTATATGCATACATATGGCCGTTTAAGAGTATTTGGACAGTAAGAGCTGGCTATTTCCATTCTCTGCTCATATCATATTTACATTTGGTCTGGAATACTATTAGGATGCCTAGATTGAAATAAATGGGTCACTTAGAAGATCAGTGGCTTCTTCATTTGATCTCTAAAAGTTTAAATCACAGATCAGTGGGGCAACGTAAGTAAAGCTATCCTCACTCTTCTAGTTAGAATCTTTAATATTCACTGACTCTCTCAAATTCATAAATAAAAATGAACAACATGAAGACAAGAGATAAAGGTCCCTGGCAGTGGCTACAGACGTTAGACCATAAGGGGTAAAAATCTCTCGCCGTAGAACAATATTCCAGAAGTCATTGAAACTAGAAGACATTGGATAATGGTTCAAGACTCTTCAATTGTTAATGTTGCATGTAAACAGGTCAATTTGGTATGCTTGAATTATTACGAGTTTACGTTAGTCGGAAAACGAGAGCGAGGATCGAGGATCCAGCGACACGACATGCTACTCTAATCCGAGTGTCCCAAACCCCATTGAGTGAAAGAAAAAGACTTGATATGAAGTAGAATCTGTATTCTACAAACATTGAGAAAGTACAAGATTCGAGTCCAGAAGAGAATCAGGATCCCGGACTAAGGATCCGGGTCCGAGTCATAAAACGTTACAGATAATGGGTATTATAGATTTAGGTCGAATAGGAAACAGCATCGAAGTCTGTGACATTGACAGTTAAGACGACGAATAGTAAGTAACATTTGAAGTGACATTGATAGTCAGGATGACCAATAAGAAACAACATTGAAGTACGTGACACTGATATTCAGGACGCACAAAATATTGACCATTAAGAATTAACCAATAGGAATAGACCAATAATTCTCTTGGGATATTGGATGATGAATATCCTAACATCAATTGTGTTTCAAGTCATCTGCGTAACTCAGTCTGCAATGGATTTAGGTTGTGTTGACATGTTCTAAGTTAGTTATTGATTGAGTATCTAATATAAATGTTAGGATATTCATCCAATATATTAAGAGAATTATTGATCAAATCCTATCGGTCGATTTCTATTGGTCAAAATTATGGTCGTTATAACTGTCAAAGTCAAATACTTCAATGTTGTTTCTTATTGGTTGTCCAGACTATCAGTCACTTCAAATGTTACTTCCTATTGGTCGTCTTAACTGTCAATGTCACAGAATACGCATTAACACACGTGAGCCACGTGGAAGTCATCTAGGGTCCTACCGAACACAGCCAGTCGACTGGGTGTGTTCGGTAGGACCCGAGATGACTTCCACGTGGCTCACGTGTGTTAATGCGTATTCTGTGACATTGACAGTTAAGACGGACCAATAGGAAG